CAAAAGTGGACAGCGGCAGCACTACAGCCCTTTTCTGGGACTTCCCTGAAGGACAGTGGAGAAGGGAAATCCTCCCAATTGGCAGAACTTCAAGCAGTGCATCTGGTTGTTCAATTTGCTTGGAAGGAGAAATGCATAGGTGTGCCATTGTATCCTGATCCATGGGCTGTGGCCAATGGTTTGGCTGGATGGTCAGGGACTTGGAAGGAACAAGATTGGAAAATTGGAGACAAGGAGGTATGGGGAAGAGGTTTGTGGATAGACCTCTCTGAATGGCCAAGAAGTGAAAATATTTGTGTCTCATGTGAATTCTCACCAAAGGGTGACCTCAGCAGAGGACTTTAACAATCAAGCGGATAGTGGAAACCAGTCATCCTCTTTCCCAAGCCACTCCCAACATTGCCCAGTGGGCTCATGAACAATGTGGCCATGGTGGCAGGAATTGAGGTTATGCATGGACTCAACAACATGGACTTCCACTCACCAAGGCTGATTTGGCTACAGCCACTGCTGAGTGCCCAATCCGCCAGCAGCAGAGACCAACACTGAGTCTTCAGTATGGCACCCTTCCTCGAGGTGATCAGCCAGGCACCTGGTGACAGGTTGATTACATTGGACCACTTCTATCTTGGAAAGGGCAGCATTTTGTTCTTACTGGAATAGACACTTACTCTGCGTATGGATTTGCCTTCCTTGCACACAATGCTTCTGCCAAAACTACCATCCGTGGACTTACAGAATGTCTTATCCACTGTCACAGTATCCCGAACAGCACCGCCTCAGATCAAGGGATTCACTTCACAGAAAGTGAAGTACAGCAATGGGCCCATGCTCATGGAATTCACTGGTCTTACCATGTCCCCCACTGTCCTGAAGCAGCTGGCTTGATAGAACAATGGAATGGCCTTCTAAAGACACAATTACAGCACCGGCCAGGTGGCCTTGCAGGGTTGGGGTAATGTTCTCCAGGAGGCTATATATGCTCTAAACCGGCATCAAATATATGGTGCTCTTTCTCCTATAGCCTGGATTCATGGGTCCAGGAATCAAGGGATGGAAATGGGAGTGGCATCCCTTACTATTACCCTTAATGATTTGCTCAAAAAATTTTTGCTTCCTGTCCCCACAACCTTATTCTTATGGGTCTAGAGGTCTTACTTCCAAAGGGAGGAATACTCCCACCTGGAGACACATCACTGATTTCATTGAACTGGAAGTTAAGAATGCCACCTGGCCATGTTGAGTTCCTTATACCTCTGGATCAACAGGCAAAGATGGGAGTTACCATATTGGCTGGTGTGACTGATCCTGATTACCAAGAGGAAATCAGATTGATATTACATAATGAAGGTAAAAAAGAGTATGTCTGGAATGCAGGAGATTTCTTGGGTCGTCTCCTAGTACTACCATGCCCTGTGATTAAACTCAATGG